TTTTGTTATTATCAGTTAGATAATTAACATTTATATCACCACAAAGAACTACTTTAGTATTATTTCTAAAAAACAAATTAAGAATAGATTATATTTTAGATAAAAAAGTAAAATTACCACTAGGAGCTCTGTAAATTTATATAATATAAATATTATCAGAAAAGTTTGATAATAAAATTGCTCTTGTTTCAGTATGTTGATCAATAGAGAATTTGGTCAAATAAATTTTAGAGTAACTTAGTCACAATGAACATAAATGCAGACACCACCCTTTTTCATAGAATGTCTACAATAACGGCCTCCCAGGGTATAATTTCCTAGATGAAATGTCTCGATTTCCAACTGTTAAGTGATGCTAAGATAAGCACAATATATGAGGAAAATCAGAATATAAAAAATTTTAAATCTCAATTTTACGTCGCAGTCCTTGAACGTTTTGATGATAGATTTTAAGGATCGCCTTAGATAAATGTTTTATGACTCCTTACTCGACGGAAAAATAAATTTGCCTGAATGTACTTGAGATAACTGTCCTTTAATCATCTTAAAATTCAAATGATTAGGTCCATCACATGAACTCATAGCATCACTAATTAACCTGGAAGCTGTGCAGGGAAATAATTTATGTTCATTGTGAGAATCTTACAGAACACAAACATTCTCAGTGTGCAGAATGCAGAGTTTTAGTATGTTATAGCAAGTGGTACCTACAGTAACCACTGGGATTTCAAGGGTTAAGAATGTGTAGGCCTATACTGTCATTTCCCCACTCTCCTCAGAACGACAGTGATAAATGTACCTTTCTTTACCTGATGTTCTATTTCCAATGGAGACACCATGCAGACCCTCCCACCTTGTCATATGTTCCCCATTCATGGTGGCAGTTCTGGGATAACAGCACATAGGTCAGTAGATAGGTACCAACATAGAATGCTTAGGTATGTTTCCACTGTTTGCCAGTTGGAATGAGTTTCTGGGAACTCCAGTGGTGTCACCATTTGACAGCCCAGTTAAGAGGGTTGTGTACACGGGATACACATGAAGCATATACAAGACTACAGCTCAGTAATGGTGTTTGCATCAGTGAGCATGGAAATTAAATCGCCACGTGGAAATGGTCCAAACCATTTCTGGATGCATGGCCAGATTTGTCTCTTGATGTCAAATAAGCCAGAATATGGACAGCTGCTGAGGAAACAGCAGAACCGCTTGAAAGCCAGCAGACCGAGGGTGTAGACCGCAGTACTGCAGCGGTTAGACAAGATGCTGCAATAAGGTAACCCATCTGCTGATTCAAACAAATGCATCAAGTAAAATGAGATACATGAATAAAGTTCATTGATATTTAATTAATAATCATTAAGATATGTTAGACTGGTGTATATAATGCCAGTTACAACTAGTATAGAAGAAATTCTACTGTCATCCTCAGGTTAGAAGATTAAGCTGATTGTGCAAGAAAGTTGTTAAGCTATAAGGGAGCAAGGACGAGGACCAGGACTATGGAAGAACCATTAGGAAACTGTAACGCTATAACCACGATGTGAAATTTGGACAACGAGCAAATATTGGGGGGGGGATGTAAGATGAAGGAAAAGTTAGGTAAGAGAAGGAACAGAATTTCAAGTAAAAAAAATCACAGAGTGAATAAGGAAGTAAGAAAGAACAATAGAAATAAGAGTGAATTTAGGGGCAAAGGAGCTAAAGAAGTAAGAAATTATGGGACCTGAAAAGAGCTTCCAGTAAAGGGGAAAGAATCATGAGTAAGTAGCCTTGAGGGCGTTGTGTCTGGAGGGTGTTTGGGAAGAAGGGATAAAAGAGAATAAAGGAAAAATAAAAATATTTAAAGAATATTATATTTAAGCATCCTATTATACTCACACAATTTTTAAAAAAAAATTGGAAAAAGAAAAAGAACAGAAAATTTATAGACATTTTAATTTGAATTGAAGTTTTAAAAAAGTGCCAGTTTTAGAAATCAAATTGATGCCTGTAGGTTAACAAAGATTTTATACATACATACAATTGGATAGACTGGTGATTTTAAATTTTAAACTACGGGCAGTGTAGCAGCTACGTAAGAATACACACCTGATGATGGCCATTTAGGGCCGAAACATGTAGTGTAGAGGAAGGGAAGAAGAAAGAACTACAATTAAATTGTTGCACTTAAGACGGAATTTGTCTCATATATATTTACAAGAAGTATATGAGGCGTAAAAAAGAGGAGAGAGGGTGCCATAGGGAGAACGGTTGACAAGGCACTGCAAAGTATGCTCTTAAACACGGTGACAACGCAAACTGCCAGAAAACCCACTCTACTCTACGATACAACGCCACAGACTTGTACTACGCTCAAAATAAATGAAGAAAATTATAACTTTTAGCTGAGTTAAAAGATTTTACATTTTATGACCAATATTTAAAAACAGAACCAAACAGGAATTTTAATGACATATACAGTATTAATGACGACTGATATGGATCCACATTAGAAATGCAATTCAATAATAAGTAGTACACCACATGAAAATTGCCCGATGATTGAGCTGGATTGAAACATGTAGCAAGTGTACATTTAAATATTAATGCAGTAATATTGATCTGTTTATCACGAAGTGTGTTGAGAATAGAATAATAATACTGTATAAGGTTGTTGATAGTTTTTAAAATGAAACCAAAGAACTTAGCTTTTCAAAATGGTACCAGAGGTGTAAAGATTTGAAAACAAAAGCAAAAGCCAACTTTTTGGGCTTGTTGGTGCCAGATCCTAAGGTTAAGCTTTAGGTCTTGTTTTTGCAGATATACTTGTAAGGCTTACATTGCTGAAATGTAAATTTATTTGGGTTGCTTATTAGTACTTATTGAATTGGAAAGGAATTCGAAGGAAGTGGTCATTGCTTTAATTGAGGTACTCTCCCGACATTCACCTGTAGTGCCTGAGGGAATCCACGAGAACTCTTAATCAGGCTTGGATTCAAACCAAGCACTTACCAAGTGTAAGTTCTGATGTCTTCACCAGTGGCCCAACCTCTCAATATCACTGTTTGCAGCACTAAACTTGAGATGTACTGAGTTTTGCTGTAGACTCAATACATGTTATGGAACAGAAACTTGTGGCATTCGTATATTGTTTCCAGACTCACTCTTCTTCCTTGTATTGAGGTATCATGGAATATTCAGCTCTTTTTTCTTCCAGGGAACTGAATGGACATTGGCTCATACAAGGTGAGGATCATCCCTATGCAGGCGATGTATGACATAAATAGTTAAGTAAATGCAATGATATGAAGACATTGCTGCATGTATATGGGGGGGGGGAAGCGCTGATTTTCCTGTGATGTGGGTTATGTTCTCCACAAGAAAGTATATGCATCCCACTCTTATTGAGAACACAGAGGACTCTCGAGACTTGTCAACATATATGTGGTTGGGAGCAACCATGCTTCTCTGATATCTGTAGCGAGTCCTTCAGTTTGAAGATGCAGCAAGGCATACCTAGGGGGGAGCGTCCATTTTAGTGTGATGTGCATTGTATTCACCACAGCAAAATGGCCGCTCCCCGCTGTGTATCACTCACTACACAGAGGAGCCTTTCACATTTAAGAAGTAGGCCTGTCATAATGTTCATTTTGGTTTGTGCTGTGCAAGTTTTGTGATTCCATTATCTGTGTTGATGTTACCCGGTTCTGTTTTGCCAACTTTATTGTGGCATGTACAACTATTGCTAGGTAATGCCTGCAAAACAAGCAGCTATACAATGGCCACAGCTTAGTAACAGCTTCCCAAATAAGCATGTTTCCACAGCAGTGACAGAATACAGAAGTAGTGGAAGAGACAGTTACTGTGCAGTCTATGCCAAGATGTTATAAGTAGAGACTGGATTTTAATGCAAATGGATATTTCTTTCTTGCAACCAGAAAGTATGCTCGTTTGGATATATATATGAATTACTTCATTTCTTCAATTTTGGACATGGTTTGATGATGCATATAAATGCATATTTTGCCTGTTTTATGAATAAGCATCATATTTTCGAAGATCTCTATTTATGCTGTGTAATGAAGTGATGACAGGGGTGGTTAAAAACAATACTAATTCACTTTGTCAGCCATCTCTTCGTTGGCTAATCCCACTGCTGTCACCACTTTGCTCTGTCGTAAAAGGGGGCTAAGTGACTCATTAACCCTTAACATCTGCCGCTTTGGCTCGGGTCCGCTGTTCTTGGGGGGGGGGAGCTAGAGGGGATGCAGGATCCACAGGGGAAGGTGCATGCCGTGAAGGATAAGAGGTCCATTGACGTTACACATTTCTTCCTATTCTATCTATTCGTCCAACCCTATATACATATATACACACAGTCACTGCCGACATTTGTTGGGTACATTACGCTTAGATTCAATCTCCTTCGGTCGTTCAGCAGTTACACTTATTGCACCCGACTCCGAGTTTCTAGACCTCTCCCTTCCTAAGCCTGGTCCATCTATTACTCCTCCTAACTTCCTGGGGGTTTACACTTTAATATTATCATGCTTAATGTCCATGGCTATACGGAGTAGTTCCACTTACTTATGAGGACGATACTGGCGCACACCACCAACCAACACCCTCTCGGCATCATCTCTCTCTCCAAGCTTTCTTGCTGATCACATCGCAACAATCTAACAGTGATGAACATGAAGACGATGCTCAAATTAGCCGTAAGTAGATATAGATCTCCATCTGACAATCTGACAAGAAAAAGCCGACAGTTCAATCCCCATAATAATGGTGATCCCCTTTTTACATTTTCTTCTTGCTATTCACCGCCTTCTGGGTGTGTATACACCCACCCATCATGACGTGATTTTGGTTGGGGTGGCTAGCTCTCATTGGCTGAAAGGCGAAGGGGGTTTGCGTGCCTTAGGCTACTGTTTTCTCTGACTCAGCGATTTCTTAGCGCCTGAGCGCCTTACTGTGCTACTTTCTTACTAAATCTCTTCCTTGTCGCAAGCGTTAGTAAGCTGACACTGTAACATTCTGGCTAGCTTGCTATTGCCTAACTGGCTTCATTACCTTCTTAACAAATCCTGCTTCCTTGTACATTTCATTTGGCTATTTCTTAACCTTAATTTCTAAAAACACCCATTCTTGATTAACATGAAAATATATCCACTTGTACACAAAGTTTGAGGCACATCGCCCCACACAAAACGTGGTGTATTTCCTGCTGACAGGGAATATTACACTTGTTTTCTCCATATAATACCATATGTCTCTTGTATCACATTACATTCACATCTTAGTTACATTTATTACAGCAATTTTTTTATTGGTTGAATTGTCCTTGACTCTGTCCTCTTTAACTTTCCATCACTCGGTCTTGGTTCCTTCACCGGAACACTGTAGTCTCGGATGGGGTTCCGAGGTCCTTGGTCGGCTGGTCTCCTCCAGCTGCCATCTCGCTGTCTGTCTCTCCCTTGGATTCGTCCTTCCGGAGGGCCGGGCTGTTCCCCTTGATGTTGTCTGCTATGGTCCTCTTCCTTGCGCAGCGCGCCCGGAAGACGAGTAACGCCCGTCGGTGTCTCCATAGACACAGACCGATTACAGCGGCTGTTGTTGTAGAGCCGGTCACAATTGTGCTGCATGTCCATTTCCGTGTCAGGAGCCTGGCTTCCACCTGCTGCTGCAACTGGGGCATCGTCATGGGGGCGGCAACGGCGGTGGGTCCGTCCCCTGAGTCTTCCCCTGCGTGCCACACATCCTCCAGTAACTCCTGGTGCTGCTTCACAAACGAGACTTCGTCTGGAAGCAAAAGAGCTGGTGCTTGAGGCACCACTATCCCTGTGCCGCTCCAATCGGCCTTGTACTCGAACTGACTACTCGCCGGTAGTGTCAGCTGTCCGATGAACAGGTCGCAGGCTTCGGGTTGCGGGATGACGCCTTTACCCTCGATACTCGATATGTTCATAGGGCACCCAAGTGTGCCCACACACCTGCACTTCACACTTGTAGGTTTCGCCACTGCGTATAGCCATGAACTTTCAAAAGGGAGTCTCCTGAATACTGGCCAAAAATTCTCAAGCAAAATCTCTCTAATACATAAACGGTAAGCCTGGCTGGTACCCGTAAATAAACTGCTCAAACACGTTTCATATGTCATTTCGGCTATTGGTACTGCACCTGCGCAAATCGTAACCATCCCATCCTCAAATTTTGAACATACCCTGCCGGTAAACTCATATAGTTCCTCCTATCTGAGGAAACGGCTAATCTTTCTCCTTCGGTTCGTATCTGCACGAACTTGCCCAAATTCGGTTCTAATGTGGGTGAAGGTACGGGGTTATAAACCATGTAGGTCCGTCTCTCGGTAGTCAACGGTACTTGGATAATAAGGCGAATCGCTTCGCTCGTAGCCAACACGGCAATCTCCGAAGATGCATAAAACAGATGCATGTTCTCCGGTTTCAGGGCTGTTATTAAGGTGTAGCCCTGGTCTAATTGAACGAAAATGTCACGAAAAATCGCAAGCAATTTGTGCGAGGGCAACAAACTGGCAGTCAAGCGATGCAATGTCGCGACATCTAAACTTAAAGCCAATCCTGTAATATCTGCGTA